CATGATCGCTTCCATCTATTAGGACATTCATCTACAAAGGAAACGGAATAAACGTCATGATATCTTGAATTTAAGTGGTGTTTTGTTTTATCCCAGTACTGCAATAAATAGTTCTGATCGATTCCCCTGCAGCCAGATAAGATATAACTGCTAATGATGAAAAAGCGAATGAATTTTGAAGAATAAAAAACAACGGGAAGATAAATCGTTAAATAAATGTCTAGAAAACAACTGGCTGAAAGAAAAGAGCTTTTACAATGAGTTCATGGTCTGCAATTTACAAACATGTAGCAGTCTTGAATGATTCCTTCTAGCAACACAATCGAAACAGTCGATGACTTTTCTTTTATTCAAATAAACCATAATAAATGTTTATTATTATTACTCCCTACACTTTCATCGCAAAAATCTCAAAATCATAAAATTGTACCCGAAATTTGAGTATCTAGAACCGTGAAGAAATATGATCAGCCTAAAATCTTTATAAAGTTTAGAATTAAAAAAATTAAAATTAAAAAAAAATTAGAATTAAAAAAAAGCGCCGACCGGCTTAATGTCACGATGAATCATCCCTTCTTGGTGGATGTATTGCAATCCGAGCAATATCTCACGAAATAGACGCCATATTTGCCGTGGATTTTTCAGCAATTTTGAACCGTCAATTAAATTACGCAAAGTAGACTTCTCACAATACTCCATTTGGATGAATAAAATCCTTAGAGGTAACGTATATGAACTTTCCACTGTCGTTTCAGATTGTGATATTAAACGTGATGGTGTGTCAGCACTGTTTTCATCACTCGAATCTTCATTGTCGCCTTCGTCTTCAAAAAGCACTTCCTAAAAATTATAAAGACGCAGAAATCGACCAACTTCTTTTGAGAATTTTTTACCAGAAAGATGAGGAAAAGTAATGCTTTAGCAATTCATAAGTATCACTTCGGGCATCAGGTCCCGTAAAGGTGATTCACATCAGCAAGTGAGACTGTCAGAACGTCGCAGAAATCACTTTTGGATATTGGAACTACGTCAGAAAAACAAGTTCCCATTCGTTAACTAAACACCGGATAATTTTAAAGATAATAAGATATGGAATTAAAAGAAATGGTTCAATGATTTGCTATAACATATAACCTCTTAACGTAAAAAAAAAGTTTGGTTTGGTTGTGCTGTGTGTGAAAGTTCACTATAGCTTACAAAATCAGAACTTTCAACAGTACTGAGACCAGTAGGCGAGAACAGAGTTTGTACAGGCTCTCTGCGTTGCTCTTCGGAAACAGAATCCGGTTCATGTATAGAAGTTGTCTGAAAAGACGTTGACCATTCGGCTGTCGTATCTGTAGCTAAACGTTTTGCCATTTTTTCGATATTCCGTATTTGCAAAGGCATCAGTGAACCTAAATATTGCTCGTTTAAATGAATTAGCAAGAAATTATAAAATTCACCAATCAATTCATTATCACATGTACGATCACAAAATGCGCTCTGATCACAAAATTTACAGTTTTGTTAAAGTCATCCTGGCTTATACCGGAGCTGTTAACATAAGCGATTAAAAAGAGATAGTGAACAAACTTGGCAATATTGCTTAGTATTTTTTCATGGTAAAAGTGAATTTCTTCCCAAAATACAGTGGCTGCAAGCTAAGTGGACTGGACGAGTTTGTAACTGAAATTCAGAGTTAAGGAATGCTGGAAGAAATGAAGCAAGGAAAGAGCAGAAGTGAGGAACTGAATCGTGCGTCTACTGATGAAAAGTTTAGGTAAAGTAATGGTCATACTTATTAAATTTCGCAAAAGTAACGCTAGAATGACGCTAACTTATAAGAAACTAACATGAAGTAGTGATTAGATTAATGCTTTGACTGCTCCTAAGTTAGATCCCAAGTTGAACAAATTTAACTCAACAGATAACTTTACCATAACAATACATAACCAGTACATACTTTCGATTTCTTCTTTCTGATCGATATCAATACTCGCACCATTACCATTACTTTCTGATCCAGTTTCTCTTGTGGTGGTAGAAGCTTGTTCGATCCAAGCACTGTAATAGCGAACAACGTTTGGGTGATTTAATTTCGAAAAGAGCTTCGCTTCGCGTGTAACTTTTCGATTGAAACGTTCATCCTTGGGATCTAGGGGTATCCGTTTGATGGCATAATCATTACCATCCAATTTATTTCTGTAAAAAAAAGAAAACAGTGCATTTTTTGAAACAGTCCATATCGTTGACTACAAGACTAGGATATAAACATCCAGCATCCTGAAATGCTAGAAATACAGCGAATTGCTGTGTAAGCACAGTACCTCAAATTTTATTCCTCACCAAACGAGGGCGTCATTAATGACTCCTGCACAGAAACCGATTCATTTAGGATAGTGGTTGAGCATTCAAGGCAACTCTTCTCGAACGAACAAGTACAGCGGCAATTGAAACTTGGTCATTATAGATTTGTAGGGTAAATCTCAGTAATCATGCAATTAAGTTTAAAAACCATGTAAAACTGTAATTAATCTTACTTCGCCAACATTACATAACCAAAACCGCCTTTTCCCAACATTTCGATAAAAATAAATTCATTTCGAAATCTACTATGTGCCATTCGCTGGAAGCCATCTTTCCCATCATCAGTCAAAGGGTGGAACAAATCATCTGAAAGCAATCAGAACTGCTCATTCATCATAGAAGATGACTGAAAGTAGAGTGTTTATATATATATATATATATATATATATATATATATATATATATATATATATATATATATATATATATATATATATATATATATATATATATATATATATAGTATA